GAGCTAGTATTTGTGGTTATCCACTATAGACTAGAAGATGCCCCATCTAGGACTATATTAATAATATGATAATTTTGCTGCCAAACTGTCTACACCAAAAGTTTCTTATCTAGTAGTCTGGGATATTAAAAATATACAAGTTAACCAGTGTAAAAGGCATTTGGGCAATCTTGATCTGGCTCCCGGTGGTCTTCCGGGTGCGCTTCAAGGTTCTGGTTACCACCTTTAAAGCGCTCCATGGCTTAGGACCTGGTTACTTACGGGACTGCCTACTACCATCAATAGTCTCCCACCGACCAGTACGCTCCCACAGAGAGGGGCTCCTCCAGGTGCCGTCGGCCAAACGATGTCGGCTGTCGGCCCCTAGGGGGAGAGCCTTCTCTGTGGGGGCACCGACGATCTGGAATGAGCTCCCCCCAGAGATACGGAGGATTCCGGATCTGCGCACCTTCCGCCGCGAGCTGAAGACTCTTTTATTTCATCAAGCTGGCCTCGCCTAAATCTTCTCCCTTTTAAGTGTAAATTTTAAATTTTTACTGTATTTTAAAATATGGGTATTTTAAATTATGGGTATCAATTCAGCCAAATTTATTTAATTCATTTTATTTGATTTTAAATTTTGTATATGTATGTGTTTTATTTCATGGCTGTTCACCGCCCTGAGTCCTTCGGGAGTAGGGCGGTATAGAAATTCAATAAAATAAGTAAATAAATAAATAAATAAATAAAAGGAAGGCTGTACTAAACATAGGAAATGTACCAGCCTCACAAGCAGTGGGCGCACAGCTCTAGGAATAGCTCATCTGATCATTAGTAAAGCAAGTCTTGCAAACAGATATATTACAATTCCAGAAAATAACTGAAATGAATGAAAAGTGGAGTATAAATTTATAAAAATAAAAACACTGAATAAATTTGCTTCTATTATTTCTGACAAGGCAAAATACATTTTTAGTCTTTGTGTACAAGTAGACAAATAAGATATTTCTATTATTACTATAATCTGTATATTTTTGTAGTAGTGCTAGATATACTCTTTACTGGGCAAAGTTAGGGATTACAGGTAGTCTTTGCTTAGAAATCACAATTGGGACTGGCAATTCCATAACTAAATTCTGGGGTCACTAAGTGGAAAAACATTTGACCGCAATGGGCTAACAATGTCACTTCCCATTTGGTCAGTAAACGAATCATCACCGTAATTAAGTGAGGCATGATGTGACCACAATTTGAAATTTTACCTACACCTCAGTGATGGGTTTCAGATTACAGATTAGTTTCTTTAATCGTCAGACTTAAAGGGTATTATAGATGAGAAAGTATTAATGTCCACCTGCAATCAGAATCCAGGTAAATAGTACCAGATTGGATTTAAATTGATGCTTTAGTAACATGCACTGGTTGAAACATTGCTATAGTTTAATACGGTATATAGAAATGAAGTAGCATAGTGTCTGGATATACTATATTTCTTAACTTAGTTATAATGTTAAAATTCATCAAGGAAATTGTAAGCCTTGCTAGGAATAAAGAAAAAATAGTTACCTCTTCCAACCTTCTATATTTTAACTGCATTTCTGTTCTTACTTAACTTGACTTGGAGCAGGGGTGTCAAACTCAATTTCATTGAGGGCTGCATCAGGACTGTGGTTGACCTTGGGGGGATCGGGGTGTATGGCCAACGGGGTGGGCGTGGCCAACTTGACGCCACTCTCCAAACTGCTGGCATGTTTTCTCTTCGCATTGGATAGACCGGGCCGAAGCTACGCTGGCCTGATCTTTCCTTTTTCCATTGGGTAAACCAGGACGGCCCCACGGGCCAGATGTGGCCCACGGGCCTTGAGTTTGACACCCCTGACTTAGAGATTTGTGTAGTCTCTTATTAATACAGTTTGACAATCTATATGGAATTAAACACATGTCAAACTTCAGCTACATATGCTAATTTTTTCTTAAAGTTTATCTTATAAAAACACAACAGCACATATTTGTTTCAGTTTAATATTTCATATTTTTCAAATATATTAGGCAAATAGTTGCATGATCACTCTTTCTTTGCCATGCTATTATACTTAGTTTTGCTGACAGACAGTTAAACAAAATAACATTTGCTAAAAAAATGAATGTTTGACAAGAATGAAAATAAATATATTGTTATACCATTATTAGCATGCAGAAATGTTATGCTGGCCATAGGATTCTCCCATATTATTTCCTTCACTTCCTGTTCAGTTGAATAATAGGTTCTTGATTATGTTAATTATGTGCCATCAAGTCAATGTCAACTCTTGGCGGCCACATAGCTATTTTCCCATGATGACCTATCCCTAACCTTCAGGTTTTCCAGGGGTGTACCCATCACTACTGTAACTGAGTCCATCCACCTTGCTAGCTGGTCTTCCTCTTGTCTTTCCTTCCACCATTCCCAGCATCAGAGCCTTCTCTAGAGAGCTAGGTCCTTGCATAATGTGTCTGAAATGTAATCATTTGAGTCTGATCATTTGTGCCTTAATAAGAACTCTGGCTTGATTTGTGCAATTACCTGTTGGTTTTCTTGGCTCTCCATGGATTCTTGAGAGCCTTTTCCAACATCCAAACTCAAAAGTGGCAAAACTCTATCTGGCTTCTTCAAACTTCTGATTTCATTTCCATAAAGTATCACATGGAATACCATTGCCTACGCTGTTCTGATACGTGTACGGATAGATTACATCAAGGCATATAAATATCCTTCCCAAGGCCTTCATGATTACAAAAACAAGTGCTAATTTGTGGCATGTTTCATAACTGCTTATTTCATTATTTTTGAGGGTTTGATGTATTAAGAAACTATCTACCATTTCAAAACTACACTCAAATTCTTTCAATCTAGTTTATCCTAATTTATATTCTGCATATAGGTTGAATAAATAAGAGCAGAGTAGGAAGTCTTGTTCAGTGGTGGGTTGCTACCAGTTCGTTCCAGATCGGGTGAACCGGTAGCAGTGGTGGCGGGAGGCTCTGCCCACCCACCTGGATGCTTCTGCGCATGCGCACACACCCACGAGCGAACCGGTGGTGACGGGTTTTGATCACTGTGTTGTACTGTGGCTTCCTGATCAGTATGTAACTTTGCATAAGGACAATGAGATGTTCCAGGAATTATCATTTTTCTAAGCATATTCCAAAAGCTTGATGTGAACAAGCTTTTTTATAATCAATGAAACACATATTAACTTGGTTTTGGTTAATTTGGTTTTCTATTATATCCAGCATGTATCAGGAATAATGATTATCATTTCTGGGTCTTTTCTAAAGCCAGTTTGAAGGTCTGGCATCTCTTTTTGATGACCCTAAACATTGTTTTGTTAATATGTGAAATTAATAGAATTGTAAGATAGTCAGCACACTCTAACAAGTTTCCTTGTTATTGGTATTGCGTCGTAGAATGGCCACAGTGTCATTCTCCAGATTTGCTGGCATATCTTGGTTAGAACTTTAGTGCTTTGTGTAAAATTGTGCTTAGTGCTATGTATGGAATTGTTGATCTTCTCTGTCCTGACAACTGGAGATCGTAAAAAAAAAAAAAAGGTTTGGCTCTTAACTAAATCTAGCAATTTTTATTGTGTTACTAGACAACCTTTAACCTGCTGGGTCATGATTGCAGAGATATTTCCTTACTTTCAAAAATTACAAGACGTCTAATGTACTTCTTCACTAGAACAGTTGGGATACATTCAGAGATGTATCTGCCTGGAAAACAGTCCACAAACATCAGCGCAGGAAATGTTTTATGATATTTTGTATTATGTCATAAACTATTTTAAGATAATTTTATGTCATAAAATGTTTTAGAAAATTTGCTGAATTTCAATTCCACAGGAGTCATGGGTCCCAGATTTTGGACACATTCTGAAAGTTAGCCCATGTAAAATACCTTGATTCAAAAACTACTGCCCTAAAATGCACTGTTTCCCTAGTTAAAGGTTATAGGAGCAAGAATTTTAGAAGTATATAGATTTTACTTTGACTCTCCTCCCAGTTATTATATATTGTTATCACTACTAAACTATATAGAGTCATTCTCAGTTCCTACTCTCTGGCAATGTATAGATTCATTCTCAGTTCCTACTCTCTGCTAATGTATATCCATAAGTATATTTCAAAATAATATTATGCATGTTAGGGATTTATTTGGTAATCTTATAAATTGCCACTGTTATACTAATTCAATTCTCATTCAGACATTTTATTAAGAATCCCCCTGGTTAAAAGTTGAATATTAGGGAGCACTACACTAAATATTTCATAAAACTACTTACAGAAAAGCTTAGCTAAAAGACTGACCACGATTAAAGGAAGTTGTTGCTCATGATAAAAAGAGGCACAAAGCCATATATAGCAACTGTATACTGTTAATTTTGCTTTGCCTGTGTAAGGCATTGTAACAGTTTTATGCTAAGATTTATTCCAGAGAAATTTTCACTTTTTAATATTACCTTAGTTAGTTTAAGCATTTCAGGATGAGAGTATTTTCAAGCATATTCTTAGCCTTCCTGAATGCGTATGAAAGCAAAAAGGCAGGATATACAGTATGTTCAATCAAAAATGTGTTTCTTTTTTCTACTTGATTGTCATTCGATCAGTCTAGTCACTAGTTAAGAGGCTCCCAAATCTGTTCATTTAATTTGGATTTTACTCAGCTTTCTTTAGTCATTTTCAGCTTGACTATGTATTACAAATTCCCTTTTTTGTGTATACAAGTTTCATTCTAGGATCTAGCTACATAGTAATAATATTAGTGTTTAGAATTACATGCATCAAAAACTGGACTGATATGTCACAGAAGCATATTTTATAAACAGAGCACAGAAATAGTATTGATCTGGCACAAGAAAAGCCATTGACATATATACCATTTGCATTACTACAAACAATAAAATAGGAAGAACTCAAGTAGAATACATCCGTCTATTTCTTACCCTAAGAATGATCATCAAAATAGGTTTAAACATACTTACCAACAGCAAAAAACAGCAATTAAATAAAGATCAGCTTCAAAGTCTTTGCTGTCGTAGCATATAATTCCATTAAGCACAAGAAACAGGACCTATTCTAGGGTCATAGCAAAATACCGAAATGTTATCTCAATGTTACATCTATAATTTTTAAAACACAGCAACATTCAGCTTTGTCTTTAAAGTTTTTTAGGCCGGATTTTTTTTTTTAGAATTGTTTTCTGATGGTTTTATGTAATCATAGTTATATTGCAAACAACTTTTGGTTTCTTGAGTAGAATCATATGCAAATATATATGCACATTTATTTATCAAGTAAATGAAACAATACGTATGATGTCAGCAAAAACCAAACAAGGATCTATCTATGTAGAAGTTTCAGATTCAAAGAAGAGCCATGCTCCTACACTCAACAATTAGCCAATTGGAAGTTATGATCATAATACATAGTCCTCGATTTACAACAGCTCATTTAGTGACCATTCAAAGTTACCACGGCATTGAAAAAAGTTACTTATGATTGTTTTTTACACTTATGACCATTGCAGCATCCCCATGATCGTGTGATTAAAATTCAGATGCTTGGCAACTGACTCATATTTATGACGGTTATAAACCTTCTGACAAGAAAAGTCAATGGGGAAGCCAGATTCACTTAGGAACCAGTTGTTACTAACTTAACAACTGCAGTGATCCACTTAACAAACGTGACAAGAAAGGTCATGAAATGAGGCAAAATTCACTTAACAAATGTCTCACTTAGCAAAAGAAATTTTGAGCTCAATTGTAGTCATAACTCGAGGATTACTTGTAATGTCCTTAAATATAAAATGATCAGGCCAGCTTTATTCCCTTTTATTGTCTTCTTCAGATATATCTGAAAGGCACTTCAGAAGATATGGTTAGATTAGGCATATTGATTGAGTTCAACTAAATGAGAAAGCATGTCAAGCATAATAAAATGCTTGACATGGGTGGAAGATAGATGTATTTGCAATTGTCACTTAGGAAAGACATTTTGCTCAGATGGCACTTTGGCTTTTAGTGTCTATAAATTCTACTCTAATCACCAGTTAGCTTTCTTCTGGGAACACTTCTTTCCAAATAAGCAGTAAATGCTGCATTATGCCAAGCTAAGAGGCTAGCCTTTTTCTTAACAATGTTCTTTCTGGCCCAGCAGCTGACTTGTGAATTTTTCATATCTATTATTATTATTATTATTATTATTATTATTATTATTATTATTATTAATTGAATTTGTATACCGCCCTACTCAGGACTCAGGGCGGTGAACAGCCGAATAAAATACATATAATATAAATGTTAAAAAACCATTAAAATACAATTAAATAATTGGCCCGGAAAACGAAATTTAAAACACCCCAAATATGCCTGATTTAGAGGTTCTGAACACTATATACACAAATGGTAAACATTGTCTTGGAACTGAATTATTCAAAGCATCAGGACAGACAATTATTATTTATTATTATTTAGCCTATGATGAAAACATGACAGAACAGAAACAAACATATATACAGAGTCCACATAATTCTAAGTAATGGGTATGGCAATGGTCTCATAACTAGATGTCCAGTTCAGCTATCAAAATGATCACCTCTGGTGTTGTTTCATGCAGATCTTCTAGGGAACAAGAGAACACATGTTGTGGGCAATCTTGCACAATAAGTTTAATAGGGGAGCAACAGTCACCCTTATCCATAGCATTCCTCAATCTACACATACTCCCTGGGCGGTGCTAAATGGGTGACAATGACCAGATGCAGCCATACTGCTCTTTTGGGCCTCATGGCTATGACAAACACAAGTGCATAAAATCAATAGGGCTGACAATAAAGAGCATAAATAATATTTCTCTTATTCTAAAGCCTTTTAGAATAAAAATACATGGATGTAGGAATTTAATGAAGGTGATAGAGGAGGAAAACATTACTGGAGAAACAATTCCTGATCCCATGCAGGATATCAATTACAGAAAAATGGAGTAGCCACATTTTAAAAATTTCCTTTAATTACATACACTTTAGGATGAAGTAGTCTTTGATTCTAATGGACAGTGAATAAAAAATGCTTTGGGATGCTGCTTAATTCTCCAGAGAGTAAGATAATTTTCAAAGCATTTTTGAGAATTTTGATAAAACTTGGATGTTTTATACTGAAAGAATTGATTGGCGCTAGATATTTCAGTCATAAATTACCAGGAATAGATTTTAGATGGAATAATCTTTACTGCAATGAAGTCTAAATTGTTCACTTTGTATCAGTTCTCTAAATACCAAGAAGCATTTAAAAATCAGATAGAATGTCAATACATTTGAATATCAAGTTCACCTAATTAAGACGGACTTTATTTTTCAGGATTTTTAATCTAGCAATTTATTTAGCCATATCTTGGATTTACTAGGGAAGTCAAAAATTATCAACGCTTCTAATTTAAAGTATGGATACAAACATAATCAAGAATCAATTTTATTAGATTACCACAATTTAAGATTACTATATCTGGGCTGCTTGAAACCAGACAATCCTGTGAGCTCTGGAACTTAAAATTTTAAAATAATTAAAATTTTATTTAACTAAGCTTTTGTCAGCCATCTGCTGACATCGTCAGAGTATTAAACTACCATTACAGAGATCTCTGCCTTTATATGGCATTAATCAATTTGGCCCTTGTGCGTGTAATAGGGCCAAATTGATTAATGGCATATAAAGGCAGAGAATATACCTCGTATTTTTAGAATAGTTTGTAATATATATACATATATAATATATCGCATATATATATATATATTTATAAAACGTATCTTATTATTTGCTTACAAGGAAACAACTAAGTCTGGTTACCAATTTGTTATTATTCCTTCAATAGATAAATATTAACATAATTGGTTTTGTTCCTTGGAACCAGAAAAGAGATAATTTTTATAATAGGATTCATGCTGTAAATGACTCCTGATAGTTTATTTCTTAAAAATATAGAAAAGAGGTAATCAAACGATGTGTTAACAAAAATCTTAATTACACAGGTAAGTATGTGGTTTTTGGACAATCACTTTCTCTCCAGCCAACTTATTTGGCCAACTTACTTCACAGGATTGTTGGGAGAAAGAAGGGAATCCTATGTATGTCACCTTGAGCTTATGAATAATAGGATATAAATCTAATAAATTATATTTATATACATATATATACATATATATATGTATACGTATACACACACACACACACACACACATAAATCTAACAATCAAATATTGCTGTATTCATACAAAATTTTTATTACTGTCACTGTGAGTCAGGCAGCCATATAAATTTAATAAATATTTTACTGTTTAGAGTTTTTAAATCAATTATGGCTCAGAAAATCATAAAATAACTATATCTGCTATAATAAATGGAGACAAACTGTTGTGTGAACCAAGTTAAGAGAACATGTCCAGCTCAAAGAATTTATTAGATATTACAGAAATTTTGATCATAGTATATCAACAGGGAATGTCCCATTCAAAATAAATTAATCCAGTCAATTAAAAAATAAGATTTAGCTTGCCATCTTTCAACAATCAGAAGTCTACGGGCACCTTTTCCAGCTGACAAGTTTGAACAGTTCACAAAAGCTTGTGCCTTTTTAATGTATATTTTTTTAGTCTGAAAAGGTGCTAGCGGGGTCCTCTTGATTTTGAGCTGCTATAAACAGGGCTCTTCCACAGGACCTATGATCAGTAAGGACTTTGTCCAAAATACAAAAACACGCCAAATTGTGACCAAAGCATGTTTATATGTATATATTTGTTACGTTTTAAAACAAATGTTCTTAGGCCAAGAAAGCTGCTTCTGCTATTGTAAGAAATGGCTGTCTTCACAGCATGGCCTCATGCTTCTCTCGGTAACAAATAACTCTGAGAAGTGCTTCCCTGTGATCTCTGTTAACCATAACTGGTCTCAGCCACTTCAGAACCAGAAAAGCAGAACCGACTTTTTTGTAGCAGCAAAGGAGAAAAAGTCTTTTCATGAAAGCTAATCCCTTTTTAAAAAAAAAAAAAAACCAGCCACCCCCTTTTCAACCTACAGTCCACACTTAACAGAGCTGAAGCGATCTATGCCAGATCTCTTAATGCTGTATTTGTATCCCACCCTTTCTTATTTTTAAAATAATCCAAGACAGCAACTATAGCTAATTATTCCTTCCTCCTCCTACCTTCCCCACAACAACCCTGGGAGGTGAGTTGGGCTGAGAGTCTCAAAGTCACCCAGCCGGCTTTCATATGCATAAAAGGGGGACTAGAAAACATACTGAAAGCTCCAGTTTTCTAAGCCTGGTGCTTTAACCACTATACTAAACTCACCTTTAACATTTCACCAGAAGTTGCGACAGGCAAGCTATTAAAAGAAAAAAAAACAATCTCCATTCGCTGGAAAGTCTATGGAGATTCTCACTCATCCAGGTCATGGTTATCCCAAAAGTGTTTTTTTTTTTTTTCCAAGAGGCAACTGGACTTTCTGGTTTTTTTTCTTTGCAGACCTCTGGCTTCTCATCCAAGAAGCCAAATCGAAGAAAAAAGCAGTCCAGTTTTTCTCCAGAAAAAGAAAGTCCAGTTGCCTCTTGAAAAAGCACCTTTGGGATTCGCTGGAAAGGGAAAGGCACTTAACCCATGCCCAGATTCCTAAGTTTTAGACGCCAGTAAGGAGCAGGTTTGACAGCTTAATTAAGCGCGGGGAGGAAATAAAAAAACACACTCATTAGGGGTTGAGAAAGACTTGCAAGGAGGAGAGGCAGCCCATTTCTCCACCATCTCCTCCCACAAGGCTGGAAGATGCCTGCAGAAAGAACAAATGTCAGGAACTTGCGCCAAGCTCCCCACCTAAGAGAAAGGGCGGAAACTCAACCTTTAATCGTCACGCCGCAAACGTCAGGTAAACCTTCTCGGGTCCGGCGCCTTCTCTTCCAACTGCCCGACTTCCACTCTCGCTTACCGTCGATTCTAACCGCCGCCTTGCGACACCCGGACAAGCCTGCCACCGGGCGCGCACGCACGCACGCACGCTTGGGCCGCCCGGCTCCTCTACCGCCGCGGAAGGGCGAAAGGAAAGCGAGCCGCCGAAAAGAGAGGGGGAGGGGGAAAAAAGAAATAAATAAAAAGGGGCGGGGCTTAAGAGCCGGCTTCGACCAGAGGCTCGGCGGCTCAGACTCCGCCCGATTCCTTTGTCGCGTCACCGGCTGCCCGTCCGCCAATGGGATTGCCGCTGGAGGAACCGCTGACTGGGCGCGAAGGGAAGCGCAAGGCAGAAGCCGCGGAGGCGGGGTTGGGAGAGGGAGGGGGGAGGAGGGAAAGGGGAGCGAATAATAAAAGGGGCGGGACCAGAAGGGAGAAAACAAAAGGAGTGTTGGCTTTTTTCTTCGCTTCAGAACGGAGGAGGAGGAGGCGGCGGCGGATGACAGCCCCGTTTCGACTTCGCAAAGGCGGGCGGAGGTCGAACGCGCTTCAAAGTGTCCTGACATGACCTTATCAGTTCCTTTTTTTTTTTGGTTTTAGAAAGATGCAATAAGTTTCACAGAGCACCACTGGGGCTTTTCCTCCCAAGCAGGCGTGTCCTGTATTTAGATAGCTGGCCTTCCTTTGATCTCAGTCCCTAAATTGTATAATGTATAAATGGGGAAAGACACCATCAGCACAATGCGATTTGCGGGGCCCCTAGACAGACTATCTAAGATATAGTGAGGGAATGCTCTACCAGAAGGTATCCAGGAGATTTTAGGGACTTCCTCTGCGTAACAAGGACAGCTACTGACTGGATCTCCAAACTCGACATTAAACTCTGAAATGTTATTTCTGTTTTCCTCTTAGGTTTTCTTACTGCTCTTTTTCTAATTGTTTTAACCTGTAAAAATGAAGTGTTTTAATATTGTGTGTGATCAGCCATACGCTAAATAAAATAAAGTCCCTAAATTTTAAAGTTGTCTTAGATAAAAGCATTAGATTTATTATTCCCTTCTTGAATGCTTGCAAGAGGCCTACTCCAAAGTGTCGAGGGCAGTGTGGCTTCAAAAGCATAATTAAGCAGCTTGAGTGGGATGGCCAGGGCTTTTGTTACTGCTTCTTCATTATTCAGAGCTTATGGGTCTTTGTGAATAAAGGAGCTGGGAGTAACTTAATAAAATAATGATGCCTAAGATACAGGAGGCAGAGCTTGGTAATACAGGTAGTCCTCATTTAACGACTGCCTTGGGCTGTAGTGATGGGCTGTCTGCTAAAAAGCCATGAAAGCAGTTGAAAGAAAATGGGGAAGCCTGTATTTGTGGAGTCTGGCAAGAACAAAAAGTGTTTAGAAGAACAACTAGACACAAGGACAGTTTTTCCCCCATGCCATCACTCTGTGAAATAACTAATTCCCATAACACTATCAAACTATCCAGAAAGGCAGTATTACCATCATTATTCTCATCTTCCCTAATACCTATCTCCTTATCTTCTTACGACTATAAGTTTGTTGCTTGTATCTTAAGATGTATATTGTTTACTTAGTATCCTGGTATGATTTATGTTGATTGCTTATTTAGTATCCATGACTGTCACTAAGTGTTGTATCTAATATCTTATGATGAATGTATTTTTACAATGAGTATGATAATGGTTTATGCACCGGAGACAAACTCCTTGTGTTTCTAATCACACCTGGCCAATAAAGAACTATTCTATTCTATTCTATTCTATTCTATTCTATTCTATTCTATTCTATTCTTCACGGAGAATATGCACATGTAACACTTGTATCCATTCTAGGTGGTTAGAGAACTGATAACAGTATCAAAGAGTTAGACATCCTGCATATCTCAGCTAGAAGTTAGAAATAGGGATGGCCCTGAGCAAATAGAATGTGTATTAGATAACTCCTGGAGCATTCATTAGCCAAGGTTTAGGAATAGGGATGGCTAGAGGCCAATAGAGCAATTGTTAGATCATTACTAAAATGTTTATTAGATAATTTGTTTTATATAGCCCGCCTTATCCCGCCTTCTGCTTTAGTAAAATTGTATAAAACTTTCTTAATCCTCTGTCCTGGCATTTTGCTGGCTGGGCCCCCTTTTGCTGAAGTGCTTCAATAAAAGGAAACAAAACTATGCACTTCGTGTCTGGTGTTCTTCATTGGTTTCGGCATCAAGCTCAGATCCGAATTGGGAACAACAGTAGTAACTGCAACCAATCATATTTACAATGTTCATAGGTCTGTAATGGAAAGCTGAAGTAAGATCTTAAGCACAAGTTATGATTTCATTTAGTGATTGCTTAATGACAAAAGTGCTGGTCTCAGTTGTCACTGGATGAGGACTACTTATGTAATAATGATCCTCCAGGCCCTGCATTACACTACAAATAAGTTTCCAAGACCAAGATACAACCCTACCCTTACAGATTCTCCACCACATGGAATCTGCCCTGAGATGCATACTGAGATGCACAGGGATCCCTAACAGAAATTAGGGGATCAAAGGCAATGCTTTTCTATAATGGCCTCCATACCTTGCCCTCAAGGTTTCCTCTGTACTGGCTTTCTACAGAGCAATGAAGATGGCTTATTTATTTTATTTATTAGTAGTATACCTTACCTACTTCAATTTTATACAACTCAAGCTGGGGGTGTCCTTTAAAGACCCCATTTTTACAAGATTTTGATATGACTTGGCGGTAATTTTTATTGTTATGTTGCATGACCAACTCAAGGTTAACTCAGCCTTCCATCCTTCCGAGGTCAGTAAAAATGAGGACCCAGATTGTTGGGGGCAATATGCTGACTGGGCTGTAAAAGCACTGTGAAGCGATATATAAGTCTAAGTGCTATTGCTATGTATGTGTTTGTGATTTTAATCTTAGTTGTGTTAACTGCCCAGCCTTTGGAGGTGGGATATATCATATATGTAATAAATTTAATTAGTAAATGAATATCTCAAAAGTGGAATTTATTTATTTATTAAATGTACTTGCTGTCCATCTTGCCACGGGGCTACACTAGGCAGCTTACAATAATAAAGAAGAAAAATGAAAAGGTGTATAAACAGAACAGAAGTAAATACTGGATACCTTCGAGACTGTCTGCTGCCACCAATGACCTCCCACCGACCGGTGCGCTCCCACAGAGAGGGCCTCCTCAGGGTGCCATTGGCCAAGCAATGTAGACTGGTGGCCCCCAGGGGAAGGGCCTTCTCTGTGGGGGCACCTGCTCTCTGGAATCAACTGCCCCCAGAGATACGAAGAATTCAAGAACTCGGTGCCTTCCGCCGTGCCCTGAAGACCTTCCTTTTTCAGCAAGCCGGGCTGGTTTAATGCTTTTTAAATGTTTTTAATATGTTTTGTTACTGTTTTTTAACTTTGGGGCCAAATTTATATGCATCTTTTTAAATTGTTTTTAATTTTGTATCTATGTTTTTTACTTTGGCTGTACACCGCCCTGAGCCCTTTGGGAGAAGGGCGGTCTATAAATTTGATAATAAATAAATAAATAAATAATAATAATAAAACAGTAACATAAACAAAGGAACACAATGAGAAGAAATACAACATGATAATACAAAAGATAGGCGGGGGGAGAGCAGAGAACAAGGTGGGGGGAGGTGGCATCTGCCATCATTCTTAGCAGAATTTAGGCTTTTGGCTGTGTCCTAAAGTTGAATAAATTTGGATAAAAAAGTTATCCAACTCTATAGAATTTACTTCTGAATAAATATGCACAAGTTCAGCTTGTAAAAAAAAAAAAGCATTTTTTAAACTGTCTTTTCTTCGAAGCAGTGCAACAAATGAGAGGGGGTGGCTGAACTGCTATCCTATTGGTAACCTAGCAGGGTGCCATCATTTCCTTCCTGTTACTGTTCCTCCCATCACAAAAGAAAACAGGTGGTGAGGGGGCCACTGCTGTTTCTTTTTCAGGCATTCCAAAGGCTGACATTCAACTTACAAATCATACTTTCTCTAGGACGATGAGCTGTCTGTACCTTAATAGGAATATTTCCCAGACTCTGTGCTGTAAAAGAAGCAGGTACATTTAATTTACTCTTGTCTACTAATTACAGATAAATGGGCTAATTGGCTTTAGTGTGCAAGTTTGCAATTTAAAAATAGTTTTCTTTCTCTCCTAAAGACTTACTAATTTATAAAGAAGTTTCCTAACTTACATTCTCTCCTTTAAAAAAAAAAAAAAGAAACTGACAGATGATGTAACAAAATCAATTAAAGGCTCTCTTTGTACGGTGCAATTAGTTATGGTTAACTTCACTGTTGTTTGAATGAATTGACCCAACTTTCTGGGCTTACATAAAATGCTGAACCATAAACAATACCCACACAGTCTGCTTTTCTCAAATACTAGATTCAAATGTGTTTGGCTGGTTTCAATATATCGTGCGAACGTAATGAAATTAGTTGCACTGAATTGTGTTCTGGGAAATCTCCACAATAAAATCGCCAAGAGTCGGGTCGGCTTGACCAACCGGATAACATTATCATCATCAAGGTATTGCAAGATTCTTTGTTGCTTCTACTTATCAATCTAAATGAAACAATCTGGTGTGTCTCTAAAAGAACCCTTGAATGATATGCATCTATTTGGTGCATATATAATACAACCTAAAGCAACCTTACATATACATACAACCTGTGATGATTCAGATAATAATTGCCACTGTCTTATGGTAACCTGCATGCCAACTTTATTCCTGTATCTATTAAAGACCTAACAACAACTCAATACTGGTGGGAAGAATATATATATTTTTCAATGTTGCACATGACAGCTAGCATTTTGAATATCTCTATAGAATGGAACAAGCTAGCCATACAATACAAATCATATATCAACAATGTTAGTATCCAAGAAACAGGAGATACTTCCAATATTCCATACATTCTGACAGTGTTTGCACAATTCATGTTAAATTAATAATTAAATCCAATTTTCTGAATTTGCATCAAGAGATGGAGTCTTTTCAGATGTGAAAGGCAGGCTGATAATCATATAAAGATCAAACTGATACGCCAGTTGCGCCCCTTTCTGGACTCCTTGTGCACGGTCACTCATGCCCTCGTCACGTCATGCCTGGACTACTGCAATGCTCTCTACATGGGGCTCCCCTTGAGGAGCACCTGGAGGCTCCAGCTGGTGCAGAATGCGGCCGCGCGGGTGATTATGGGAGCGACGTGGCACTCCCATGTAACACCTCTCCTGCGCGAGCTGCATTGGCTCCCGGTGGTCTTCCGGGTGTGCTTTAAGGTATTGGTTCTCATCTTTAAAGCGCTCCATGGCTTAGGGCCAGGATATCTGCGAGATGGCCTGTTGCTACCGATAACCTCCCACCGGCCAATACGCTCTCACAGAGAGGGCCTCCTCAGGGTGCCGTCGGTCAGGCAATGTCGGCTGGCGGCCCCCAGGGGGAGAGCCTTCTCTGTGGGGGCACTCACCCTGTGGAACGAGCTGCCTCCTGGAATACGACCGATTCTGGACCTCCGGACCTTCCGTAAGGCCCTGAAGACTTATTTATTCCACCAAGCCGGCCTAGCCTAAATAAGAGCCATAATTGGGATTTTAAATTTTATGGACTTGGGGGTTTTAAATTGGGAAGCCAATTATTTAATTCTTTTTAATTATCTTAACTTTTGTATTTGTATGTTTTTAAATTTTGGCTGTTCACCGCCCTAAGTGCCTTCTGGGAGAAGGGCGGTATACAAATTAAATTAATAAATAAATAATAAAATAAATAAACTAAAGTTTTTAAAAATTATAAATGAATGACATTTTTTAATATGAACAATTTTAATTTCAGGTTACTAAAGGATTCCCAGGATTGGAATGTGTCATGGAACAATTTTTATTAAGCATGAAATGAAAGAGAAAGCTCAACACAATAAAATATGCAGTAGAACAACTACACATCGATATATTAGTTATCAGTGAATTGAGGTGGACTGGAATTGAACATATTCAGTCAGGTGATCATACTGTTTGCTACTGTGCATACTTGGCTGCAATACAATAATATCAATTGGACTTTATGCACAACTCTTTAATATAACAACTATCCAGGTTTATGATGCAACCACTGATACAGAATAAGATAGGGTTGGTGACTTTGATAACAAGTTCAATTTGAAATTAAGCATGCAAACAAGATGTGCTCTTTATGACTGGAACCTGGAATGCTGCAGAATTTAAATAATCTGGATTCTAGAATATATACTTGAACTGTGTAGTCTAGGACAGGCTGAGGAATTCTGGGAGTTGAAGTCCAGAAGTCTTAAAGTTGCCAAGTTTGGAGACTCATAGCCTAAGAAAACAAAATGCAGCAGAACAACAGAAAGAATCAGCAGAAAATTCATGGCACATAGTCAATTAAAAAGAGACCAGGCTACCATGAATTTATAAGTTCTAGATTCCTACATTGTTGAGCTTTCATTGGAGCTTCAACAGTAGTGTACAATCAAAAGTTAGCAATTCTGATATACCGTAGTTCATGTTGACTTGATTAATTTGTTCTGAGAAAATGGCACTACTAATTATTTATATTAAAAGTTCAGATACTGACTTCAAACATTGGCATATCCTGGGTTCTGATTATCTTAGTAAATGCTGTGTGTGACCAGCCATATGCTAAATAAATAAATCTTAGTAAACATTATTAAGAAAATGTTTCATGGCCTTAGGCTAATGTTTTAAGCCTAATTTTTAATTATATAAAAATTAGCTTCATTGTAACACTTGCATCTGAACAAATATAAACAAAATTTGGTCTATAAATGTTATTTGATGGGAAAAGATCACAGTAAACATTTCTGGGACAAAAGAGTAATGACTGTTCTTTATTTTAACAAATCCAGTAAAAACTAGCAGTCTTTAGTGAATAAGTCACATTAGGTATAAGTTAAATTAACCAAATAAACAGATGTAAGATCAGGGCACAAAAATGTATCTGTCACTAGCTTTAAAACTGAAGTAAGGCCTTTCTTTATTGCATCAGGAGTCTCGCTTAAGAGAAGTGCTAGAATAAAAAGGAAATTATTTTCAAAAATAACATTCGTATTAATAAAAATCTATCAATGTAGAAAATATTGATTGCTAAACTAATTGATAGTGTTGATGTTTTAAGAAGTATATTAATATATCACATATTCTTACTTACTTACAAGCCATCACAATATGGTATTGTCTGGATGGTGAAAAATTGCAGAAAAAATATATTTTCAGCAAAAACAACAGAAAGTTTTAGTATCATGAATATACAGCATAAAGAAGACATTTGTTAAATGTGTTTTTCCTCTAAAGTCTGAAGCTTTAAAGATAGGTAGTTAATGGAATATTGCCCTCTACTGACCAATTTGAAAACTGAAATACACAATAGTGATTTTGAAGGAGATCAGTAAAACATTTATCTGAGGCTTAACTCAAATAATCAATATAATTGAAAATACTCTCTCCCCAGATTTTCTGATAGAAATGTTTTCTACTCCTCTATCCAAAATTCTTCTTTAGAGATGCCAAGAATTACAGTTGAATGCAAAATATATTGTTTTTTTTCTACATTACCATTACATTATTGTGCAGATAGTTCTTCCACATTACCTTGCATTTTGTATGAAGCAGCAATTTTCACTATTGAAACTAAAACATATTAATCCTTTAGACAAGGCTTGTTCATTTTAATCTAAAATAATTTTATTTCCATCTCACAGAAATTCCAGCATATAAATACACTACTACCTGTTGCATTATATCCAGCAACTGGTCCAACTGCCTGATCTTATTTTTTTATTAGCATTTTTTAAATTTCAACTTTATTAGTTTATAAGTAAGCCACAACTCGCTTCAGCAGAAGGTGCTATACAGTAGAAGCGAAAATTCTGGCAGAGGAAGAGAGCTTCTAAACTTGATGAGGTTACCTAGTTTGGTAATGAAATGTTTGCAAGAAAACAATCAAGCTCAGAGAGCATGAAGGACCCCTCATTTCAACCTTGAGCGACAAATATTCTCCTCCATTAGCTCCTAAATCTGCCATTCATGTGCCTCAGCTACAGGCTTGACCCCAGGGTGTGGGAATGGACGGGAATGTACATCCATAGTGCATGGAAGTAGATGCTAGGTGGGGAATGACTGGGTGGATGTGCCATACTGAGCATCTTTTATAAATAGCAATGATGTCATCCTCTTTCAGACTGTTTACAGAGTATCTGGTCCAACACAGATTTAATTTTCCAGGACAATCTATAAGCTTGAAAAAGACAGCAGAAGACATCACCTTTTCTGGTGTGTGTGTGTGGGTGTGGGTGTACACGTGCATATCAGATTGTAGCTTTAGTTAAACGATTTACAAGCTTAGTTCTCCTCTGCTAAGATTAGGAGGTATCATTATATGAATAAAATTGCAACAGGTTGCATTATCCGCTGCTTATTCTACACTGTTATATTGATAGTTTTGCTGGATTGTACCACGTACCGATGCGACATTACATGTTTGATTTTCCCCCGCTTCCCCCCAAGGACAACACTTGCTACGCTACACATGGAAAAAAAATACTTTGTAAAAGCAAAGGCCAGCCTGAGTCTCTCATGCTAGTTTTTGGCGTGCCCGACAAGCATGCACATTTGCTATTTGCAAAAAACAAAAAAAAAAAAAAACGGGGGGGGGGAAGCCTGTTCAGTCCTTAATAGATCCAGAACAATGAACTGCGATCGGGCCTTTGATCCCGGCCACGCGACTGTGATAAAAGGACTCGAAGCAAGCCGAGCCCATCCTCCCTGGCGATTAGCCCTTCTCCAATTTGTTTTCACCGCCTCTTCGGGAAGGACACGCCATATCCGGGGAAAGTGGGGGGGGAAAACAAGTGTGAGGTAAGGAAAGACGCAGCGTGGTTGATTTGGACGCAGAAAGTGCCAAAACTTTTTAGGGAGATCGTTTCTTCAACGTCGAGGGGACGTTGAAGCGGGTCCCCGGGGGCTTTGGTTCCTTACTTACTGTGATTATAAAATTGTCTTTAGTCTCTTGCCGAGCGAAGAAGCAAGCAAACGAGAGGAAAATGGCCTCCTTGGGAGGTGGATTTAAAAAAAAAAAAATCTGTAGGAGGACGGGAGAAAGAAGAAAGTGGGAAAGGATTTGCAGAATTAGCAATAGATAGGAAAAGCACCCTTTGGTAGAAGGCAGTATGGGTTTGATCCAGGGAGTTCTTGTAAGATTTGCTTGGCTTTCACTCCTCCCGCCTTGGGTACTAATAATATTTTGAGAGTGCGTGGAGTGAATTTTACTCCTTTCTGCATGATTGCAGCAGTTCCCTTATAGATACGTGATTTTTTTTTTTTTTTAAATCACAGAAGAGTTTGCGGAGTAGTGAAAATATTAAGTCTTTTAAAGAGACGAATGTGCAAAAGAAACCGAGGTGGGTGTCTAGCCCTGGCACTAAAACCAATGATGTAAATGGGCATAGATGCAAACAGGTATTTTGAAATCATGACTTGGAAATCGCAGAGTGTGTTCGTTAGCCTCTGAGCTCAGTGTAGAATATATGTACTACATTGGGAGATTAGCAATAGCACTTAGATTTATTGTATTCCATCCTTCACAGTGCTTTACAGTCCTCTCTAAGTGGTTTACAGACTCAGCATTTTGCCCCCAACAATCTGGGTCCTCATTTTACCCACCTTGGAAGGATGGAAGGCTGAGTCAACCTTGAGCCTGCACCATAACAGTTCCTTTTTTTTTTCCTTTTGTTCTTCAAAATCAAGGCCTGACTAAACTATTCCTGAATTAATCAGGATAGCCCTCTATTTAAGGGAACTGTTGATTTTGCCCTTAGGACCAAACACTTTCCTGATCTGAATATTCTGTCCTTCTCCCTCTCTGTTCTGTTCTGTTTCTTGGATAACAAGACTTGGTGGAAAGTGAGAAAGATATGGAGCAGCACGGTTCACTTTTGGAATAAACAAGTGAAATAAATGGCATTGCATAATTTTATAATAAGTTGTAAACAGCCTGCTTAGGATTACATTTCAGGTTACCTTTACGCTGCAAGAAACACTTAGGTAAGATGGGTGGTGTGGAAATGTGATAAACAACAAATGAATAAAATATGATGACTTGTATCTTATATTACACAATGTATTATGGGGTTCCAATCCTTGGGTTCCCTGGCATTAATATATATTCATAAACCTGTCATTCTGACAGATAACTATTTTCTTATAGGTAGGGCTATGAGATTTCTGAGATCTACCCACCCTTCCCAAATTCTCATTCCTGATTCCTCCCTGCAAAATAATAACTGGAAGGGCATGTCTTGTGTTACGCTTTAAATTACAATTCTAGCAGCCAATCATCACAGAGAGACTTTATTTACATTTCATTTCCTTTTTGTTGTAAATGTAGTTACTGAGCTCAGCATAGTTATATGTCTTGTCACCATTTCAAAGCATTTTTCCCAGGTTTATTCTTATACAATTCCTGCCAAATTAGATTTGCAACAAAAATAAGCATTACAGGATATAAGGGTCAGTAGAGTTCCTGGCCTTTGAAAGGAAGCAGGCTGTCTTTTATATTTAGAATAAAAATAACTTCAAGAAGCTGCTTGTAAATATGCCAAAACTGCTAAAACTGTCCGTACTATTAACAGGGCACGCTGTATTTGGAAGGGGTGGGATTAAGGCTGGATATGTAGTCAGGAGAATCCTAAAATAAATTGAATGCAGTGAAAATGAGTTACTTAGGAAATACATGTGATAATGCAAGAAAATAGAAAGTAATACAAGAATGAGCGATGAATGAATGTTGATTGAATAGTGGGTTAATCAACATTAAACAAACGTGTTAAGGTTTGGCCACATAAAAAAACCAGTATAAAAAGTAAAAGAAATATATACATTGGTTGACAGAAAGTGGAACACTGAGAAAGTCATAGTAGGATACAGTTGAAAAATCCTGAAAAAGAGAGAGATGGGACATTTAAAGAGCAAAAGGCCTTACATGAGGTAATTTAAGAATTTGTGAAAAAAAATGGTTTCTGAAGAATTGAAACAGATAAAATGAATGAAGTTGGTGTAAACTAAATTTATATATTGTTTCCTTCTCTTATATTATGACTTGTTTGACATATTTATTGTTTTTTGCACCTTGCGTAAAGTTTGTTTAGCTTGAAAGAGAATAACACGATGAGTATACTATTATCATAAAATAGACATCAGGACTCACTTTAGTCTTTATGAAAACCCATATTCTCAATACTTAGACCCAATCCAATACTTTCTTAAAACTCTTTTTTCTATGTATCTTTCTTCTGAGGAAATTAAGCGAAGTTATTTCAAACTTGATTTGCTGCCCCCCCCCCCAAAATTTAATTCAGTCTTGAATTGCAGAGATTTGTTTGGGTACAAGTGACATAATTATTTCCAAATAAATAGTGATAAGTTGTTTTTCTTTAAATGATGCCTTGTTCTTCCCTGATTTGCACCCAAAATAATCTGAAATCCTTACATGGTAAGACTAACCTTTATTTCATTCTTGTGCTTTGGGCCAAATGTAAAATGAGAAAGGGCAATCAATGCAAAGAGAGTGCATCTTGCTTTTGCCTGGAAAACATTTTTTTCTGTAATTAATTCTATATCGGATTTCCACTTTTTTTTTATAAGTGACCACCTAATTAACCTCTCTACTATTTGTTGTATAACTATATATCTATTGAAACAAACAGTAATATTTTGTTCTCATCCATGACTCTTTAGCATTCTGTTGTATAGCCACCCATAAATCCAAAGAGGCACTCTATTCTGGTTAACTGAGAGTAAGAGATACCTTACCCATAGGGGAAAAAAAATCCCTTAGAGAATGGAGAGAATGGAGAATAGTTGCTGAGTTAGCAGAGTTGGAGTCTTTAAAAACGGAAGGGATTTTTTTGGAAAGAGATAGAGGGGTGGTCTAGCATCTATCTCACAAAGGATGTAAACAGTACTGCATGTGGATTTTTTTCCACTGGTTGCTGTAGTGATAGTTGGTGATCCTGAGATAGGTTGGGAATGTTACACTTCTGGATTGTTAGTTCAGTGAAAATATGAAATTTCCTGAAGTGAAGCCTGGACAATTTGGAAAAAAGCGCTGAAGCAAAGGAGGAGCAAATCAATGCAAGCAGAGGGTCTCCACTGAGGTCAAGATCTACCAGCCAGAGATTTAAGTGATTGCTAGCCTGATAGAGAATGCTGGTCAATATAATTAGTTCACGTGTTTTCCTCTGCATTTATAAGGGAGACAATAGAAGAGTTGGGGTTTATATGGTTGTACAGAGCTCTTGCTCAAGTAGAAAATACAAAACTATTTTGTTTATTGTATTAACAAAATAGGAAAAAAAAATATCCCAACTCGTGCCAGGTATGTTATGTTCGGTATTAGCTCCCTTGAACTCATCAGAAATGTTGGGAGATGTGTCAAAAAAAGTCAAGGGGCAGCTCCAATTAAGCAACTGAAGTCATGCCCCTTTTGTTTATGTATTGTGTTATCACATGCATATCCAAAGGAGCAAGTTTGGCGATATGATTGTGGATGCCACGATGACTTCTTTAAGTCTTTGGTTGCTGCTTAAACCCACAAAGATCTGTTACACAGTGGACTAGAGGTTTTCGTCTGAAGAATTGCTTATCACGAGCCTAAAATATGTTCAACTCCTTGATTGTTCTAATTGTCCTTTTCAGCTCTCTTCTCTCTCTTTTGGAGAGCAAAAAGGACTTTGGATCCACTATCAGAACTCAATAATTCAGATCTTATCAAGTTTATACCTGGATCAGAAAACTTAATGCAATGTGCTCTTCCTTTTTAAGAAATTATGACTATCAATCAATGGAGCCTGTCTATAAATTGTGATAAACTTTCCAGTAGAGTTAATTTTGATCCTATTGCTTTTTTCTAAATATATTTGCTATTTTTTGCACTTGTGTTCTAATCCAACAAGTGCATTAAATAGGTTTATCCCTTCTGATTTCCTCATGTTTCTTGATTTCTCATTTTCCATTTATTATCTATTGGTTTATAACCAAAATGTATTATATAAATTTATCTGTGTATGTTCATTTTAAAATACAGTAGTGCAAATTTTGCCTGTTAATTACCTCTGTTGCGTCTCAGTGTTATTTTACATTCTTAACATTTATTGTTACACAGGAATGTTCTTAGCTCATCAGTACTTCAAGTGTCTTGGCATTAGAACATATCTACGGAAAATTAATTATCGTTTGAGATGCTCCAGGTTTTCAACTTGCTCAGTATGTATTCAGTCTCTTTGTAGATTTCATAATTGCACACACTTTTTGTTACATTTACTATTGAATCACTAATGGCAGTGCATAACTTAAATGTCTTCAAAAAGCTTTCCTTACAAATACTGCCGATATAAGAAACATAAGAACTTCAATTTCTTATCTCATTTGTAGGCTATACTGTAGTATGTAAAAAACCATGGGAAAACTGGACTAGAATGGAAAAATAAATTTGGTCTTTCTGATCTTTTAAGCAGGAACAGAAGGCAGCTTCTTTTAGATGGTTAGAATCAACAACCAAAAAAGGAGGACAAAGTAAGGGAGGACAAAGCATTTGATTGAGCATAGCAAAGAAACTTTTTCTGCATTTTTCTTTAATGTCTCTGAGGCTCTATTTAGATGTGCACTTGAGGTTCCCTCAGGTCTCTCTTTAAATGCAAAACAGTATTTATAAGACTAGTGATTGACATTGCTGGCTATTCATACAAGGCCCTTCTCAACACTCCATGAGCAATCCAAGAAGGTACAGCTGGCATAGATGTTCTGTGTGGATATCTCTGATGCAATTACTTTGAAACCTTTAAAACAAATCAAATTGGCCTTTGTGTGTCTTGTTGTCACTTTTATGTTGGAATCTAAGACTAAGTGCTGCTCTGTCTACTAGCCTCCATGTAATTCTCTTAACATATCATTCTCTACATTTGGCATTTTGGTTACATAGATTGTTTTAATATTTTTTGAGGAACTGTTAGAATGATTATTAGTATCCTGGTATTATAGTAAATGGTTTTGAGGCTTTTGCTTGGTTTATACATGTTTTATAATAATTTATCGATCCCAAATTTCTTAATAATATTTAAAAGATTGAGAGAGAAAGAGCTAGAATAGCAGGTATTTTTTTTTCACATATTCACTCATTTATTCAGAATTTCTTGGTTTATTTGGGTTGTATGACCAGAGGAGTTCTGTACTTAGATTGACCATAAGCCAAGCAAAGAAATTTAGCAGAGCTATATTTTATAATGTTGCTGTACATGGATACTGGTAGATGCATGATATCCATTGTGCTATTCCATTTTGGAGTAATAAAATAGTAAGGCAAAAATATTAAGGGAATACCATATTTAAACAAATGTTATAAACCCAGAAAAAAAGTGCAAACTCATAATGCTATGAGATGTTTAAAAAACATTAAAATGTAGGTATATGTTTAATAACCCATAATACATTTTTGGATTGTCTAAGCGAAGGAGTTCTGTAGCGATGTTAAAAAAGTGTATTGGTTGACAATGTAAATATACATATATGTATGCAGATTATGACAATGCAGTGTTGGCCCAATATCTGACTGTTTTCTAGCAAATATTAGATGGTATAATGCAGTGAAGCATAAAGTAAAAGTAAAGGTAAAGGTTCCCCTCACGCTAGTTGTTCCCGACTCTACGGGGCGGTGCTCATCTCTGTTTCAAAGCCAAAGAGCCAGTGCTGCCCGAAGACGTTTCTGTGGTCATGTGGCTGGCCTGACTAAATGCCAAAGGCGCACAGAGTGCTGTTACCTTTCCACCAAAGGTGATCCCTATTTTTCTACTTGCATTTTTTATGTGCTTTCAAACTGCTAGGTTGGCAGAAGCTGGGACAAGTAATGGGAGATCACCCCGTTATGCAGCACTAGGGATTTGAACCGCTGAACTGCTGACCTTTCGATCGACAAGCTCAGCGTCTTAGCCACTGAGCCACTGCATCCCATAATGAAGTATATCAATCTAAAATTAATATATCAAACACCAAGGTAGGCACATTGTATTGAATCAATGTGCTGGAAGCAAGGATAGTTTACAAGTAGCCCTCATTTAGTGATTGCCTTGTTTAGTGACTGCTGGCAGTTATGATGGAAGTTATTATTGTGATGGAAAAGTAACTTTATGACCAATCCTCACATTTATGACCATTGTTTAGGCACTCACCCTTTTTCAAATGATTTTTAAAATTCTCCTTCAAAATCACTTTTGTGTTTGTTCTTTCTCTTTTAAACTTATCTATTCCTTGTTTTCTTTGACTACTTTCTCTGTAACTTTCTGTCTATAGAGATATATTTACAGTATTTTCTCATCCTCTTTTTTTTGTAGCAATCTTTACATGCATTTATTCTGATCTGCAGCTTCTTTCTCTTCCGCATCCAGCAAACATCCTTCTCATATTTCTCCCGAGTAACTCTGTTTGAAGCAGCTTCCAAATTAATTTACTTACATCCGGTTTCCATTAATTTGGTTCTAGTACTTTTTCATAGAGGATGTATCTACTTTTCATTCTTGTTTGCATCTTCAATGTTAAGAAATTTGTTTTATATTAGAATATAGTTGTAGTTTATTCTGTTTACAGCATTAAGGGGAAATATAAAAGGAGAGATGGCATACATTAACATACCATCCAATAATATACTCTTTTTTGTCTCTAACAAAAGTCCTTTTGTCTCTGATTTTTTTTTGCTGCTAGGCCATGAACTTCAAGCACAAAAACGCTAAACGAATTGAAGGGCTTGATAACAATGTGTGGTAAGTAATAATGAATGAAAGCATTAATTTAATCAATAATCAAACCTCAAAACATTACAGCTTGTGAAGAGAATGTGTGTTAGGGTAACTAATTTTTCATCTTCATTTGTGCCTTCAATATCACTTTGATTGCAGAAATCAGTATGCTGTGATTTGTATCACAAGGAGATAAATAATAATTGAACAGCATGCTGCTGTGAAGAGTACAGCTACAGAAATCAGCTGAAAGGTTGGCAGTTTCCAGGACTTTTTTTCATCTTTTTTAAAGTTCTCAGGGGTTGGCATTTTTCCTGATTTTATCTTTATCGAATTCTATTCACATATTTGCATTAAATAATACCAGAAATTAAACAAAAAAAAATACTGATGATGATATAATTTAGTGTACAATTAGAGATAAGAATAAATGTATGGCCAAGAGATTGAATAAGAATTTTACCCATTAGCCACATTTTTCATTATTCAATTATAGAAGGTTGTTAGGAATAAATATATGGGTAAGGGACTGAATAAGCCATGAATTTTCAATTTTTTTTTCCGACTGCAGAGCCTGTTAATGAAAGAACAAACAAACAAATAAATAAATACACTTTGTTTCTGGAGGCATGAACAAGCCTGTACTTTATATTTTAAAAACTATAAAACCCAAAACAGGGTTGCTCCAATAGGTATTTTTTTATACAACATGTTTGCAGCTTTGCAATTGAGTATTCCAAGATGTCGTAGGTGGCTACCAGCTTGTCTGATTCTAAAAAAGGATTGGACCAATTCATGATTGCCATGGGGATCAATGGCTATTAGTTTTGGTGGCAGTGGGACTGCCTCTGAAGGCATCTCGGGAGAATAGTGAACTTTCTGGTGCAGTTGGTTGGCCATTATGCAGCTTAATTTCTTCTAGTTTGAAAGGATGTTGTAAATTTGAAACAGATTGCTAAACCTTATGGAAGGTGTTCCTCTGGTCATTTCAGAAATATCCCAAGTTTGAAATTGATTTTTTTAGGGAGGAAGACAATCATCCGAACAGCATTGGATACGCTTCCAGTAAGGTTAGAATAGTTGTTTCAGACTGTTTCAGACTATCAAAACAAAACATTTGAATTCGAAAAAATTGCACATTGTTGCTATTTTGTGTTATGATTTCCACAGAAGGGGAGCTAGTCTTTCCTGGGATTTAATAGGATTGCAATCATTTCTGTGTTCCGTAGGGTGGAATTTACAAAACTTGCTGCAGATCCCACTATTGTTAACCTTGGACAAGGACTTCCAGATATATCTCCTCCTAACTATGTCAAAGAAGAATTGGCAAAAGCATCATCGGTGGATAGGCTGAACCAGTACACCCGGGGTTTTGTGAGTGTGTTACATGCCTGACTCTCTTTAAAGACCTTGCTTTAAATGAATAGCCTAGCCTGAATGTTTCTCAGCTGGTTTGTTTATATTTCTCAGTTTTAGATTCTTATTCTGAATAGAAATACAAGGTTCTGTTCTTTGGTTGGTCTTCACCACCGAAATTCGAGTTATATGCAAACGAAGTGAATTCCCATTTCATCCATCCACACAATCTATTTAATACATTAAATTAAACTAGTGTGGATTTCCCAGAATTTCACAGAGCACATTGTGATATTATTGTCCTGTTTGATGATGATAATAAAGCAACATGCTTTGCAGGACTCAGTACATGCATATAATTAATAAAAATGTTTATAGAAGTAGAGAAATGTTTTGATGGAATTGGTCTTGGTACATTTTCTTATGTTAGTTCATCGAACTTAATACTTCCCATCTTTTACAAAAAATATAATCTATCTACTTATGTTTTGAACTAATGCATGCATCATTCACATATAGCTGACATTTTTCTGTGCTTCTTATTAACTATTTTTCTCTCTTTAAAAAAAAAAAATACTCAGGGTCATCCACCATTGGTGAAAGTCCTGTCTCAAGTATATGAAAAAGTTTGTGGAAAAAGGATTGATCCATACACGGACATTCTGGTGACAATAGGGGCATATGGATCCCTGTTTAGTGCAATACAGGGACTTATTGAAGCAGAAGATGAAGTAAGTCTTTGTAATAATTCCTGTTATAAAATAACTGGGTTATATTATTTTGTTTTATTAAAAACCAGTGCTGAAATTACATGCAGTTTCCCAAATCATTCCTTAATTTTTTAAAGTACATATTTTTATCCTGCCTTTGTTACTTTTTAAGCAACTCAGGGTAGTAAGCCTACATAATATTCCTTCCTCCTCCTATTTTCCCCATAACAACAACCCTGTGAGGTGGCTTGGGTTGAGAGAGAGTGAGTGGTCCCAAATTACCCAGCTAGCTATCATGCCTAAGATGGGAGTAGAATTCACAACTCCTGGTTTTTAGGCCACTACTTTAACCACTACTTCAGATTGGCTCTTTTGACACATAGAAATCTGGTTTGGGTTAAAGAGGATTTCCCATTCTACCCCCGCTCCCTCTTTTTTTTTTAAAAAAAAAATGGTTCTGTACCTGTAGCTTTATCTGCAGGCTAATACATATACATTTTGCAGTCAGCTGATATCTTGGTCTTATAATAATGCTTTTTTGCTTTCAAAAATAAAGTTTAAAAAAAGATTCTAATAAGGCAATATTCTATCATGGATTTTCTAGCAGTCTACAATAGTTTTAAACCCATAGTAAAATTTATTTCATGATGTTTAAAAATTGGATGCTGATTTCTTTAAATTTGAGATATGATTTCACCTTCTTATTGTCTTTGGCATATTTAAGTAATTTCATTCAGGGGAAATCTGACAATGAAATCAGGGCTTTTTATACACATGCCATATTCTCTCACACACATTTCTCTCTTTTCACTGTTCAGTTCTGTTGTCTCTGTTAGATAGAGATAGTCCTCAGCCTGCAACTATTCATTTAACAACTGTTTAAAGTTACAATGGCACTGAAAAAAGAGACTTATCAACAATCCACTTATATAATGACCATTGTAGCATCTTCGTAGTCATATGATACATAAAATTTAGGCCCTTGGCATCCAGCATTTATTTACTTTGGTTGCTGCATTCCTAGGTCAGGTGATCACCATTAGCGGCCTTTCCAGCTGGCTTCCAACCAAAATCAATGGGGAAGCCAGATTCCCTTAATGACCTCATCATTCATTAAAGAACTGCAGGGATTCGCTTAAAAATGGTGGCAAAAATCAGGTGTGGCTCATTTAATAACTGTCTTGCTTATCAGTGGAAATTCTGGTCCCAGTTGTGGTTATAAGTCAAGGAATACCTGTATCTCCAATTCCTTTAGTTTACCTCCAGCACACCCAATGCAGACATTACCTCTTGATCTGTTATTTTCTTTTTCCTTCCATACTTCTCATTTTGTAGGAGAAAAAATGGTAAAAACCTGGGGGCAGAGTGAAAAGAGGGATCAGCTTAGAATCCCTTTGTAGCCACAAGCTAAGTCTAGTTCCCACTTGGGTGCCTTTGACCCTTATCTAGCCAGGTGCTTCCTGTTAGTTGAGAAGATTCCTTTGCATAAGGTTTTAGGATTAAATCAACTGAATTGAACCTTCATATGTAGACCTGGTCTTTCACGCCTAACACATTCATTCTAAAATTGCAATAGCTATAGTATTTTACAAAAAGAGACACTGAGAAAATCTGTTATCCAAGTTAGCATCCCTCTTTGCTGCCCCCAAAAGACTTTGCTTTAATACAGGAAATGTTTACAAATGTGTAAAGTTATCATTAAGTCAGACTGAATACTGCTTCTGACATTAGAAAAAAAGGTAGCTCACTTTTTAATTCTTTATTCATGTAAGCTTACCTTTGTTTTAGGTAATAATAATTGAACCCTTCTATGACTGTTATGAGCCTATGGTGAAGATGGCAGGTGCCACACCTGTTTTTATACCTTTGAGAAAGGTGAGTGCTGTGGTTTTGGTGACAAGAAGACAATAGCTGAGAGAAACTTCTGAATTATCTTTAAAGCTTTGTGGAAAGAAAAGAAGGGAGGGATGAATATCCAGAGCTTGCCTAATTCATTCCTACATTTTAAATATCTGGTGTGATAGCAATTATCATTCCTATTTCTTTACCTAAACATAAGAAATTAAGAAAATATTTGCTTCAGAATTAATTAAAAATAAATAGTGGGACTGTTACATCCTTATCTTAATTCTGCATCCCTAACCATTTTAATATTGCTGGTTTCTCTCATCCATAGAGATATATACTAGAATGTAAGAATATACAACTGTGTAATACAGTAAATCTTCTTATTACTGTTTTGCATGGTGAGAGCTATATATGTGCAGTAACCATATATTTTTTATTATAAAAGACAGCCCTTTATTTCAGAAAGTTAGTATAGCGTAGTGTAGCGTAATATAGATAGTCCAGTTTCTTAATTGAGTCTTACGATCATATCAGATAAAACAAAAATACGATACATGATCTGATTCTGGGATATAAGATATAGATATAGATACAGAGATAAAATACATGTGCGGTAATACAAGGAGTCAGCAATCAGATAAATGCATTGCCAGTTTGTTCAATGTATTGGGATTTTGGCTTAGCTGCTTTGATTATAAACTGCTTACAATATGTACATTTGAGTGCAAGTGAAAAATAAGGCAATCTGTGGTTCAGACCCCAGTGAGCTATTCTTTCCAATGGGGATGATAAGTATCTGAACCTGTGGGAGACATATAATTGACAATTGAGCAAAACATGAGTAAAATTTTCAATAGCTGGGGCCACATGTGCATGTCCTCTCATGATATGGCAAGCAGTGGAAGTGCCCCTTTTTGCCTTCGAATCCATCAATTCAAATCTTGCTGTGGAATAGGCCCTTCTTAAAAATTGTGTCAAACTAATTGACAGGCATTTTTCAAGAAAGTTAAAAAAATAAACATTTTTTTTACCCTTATGAACCTCTTATATTTGCCCCCTTTTCGACTTTATTTTTTTTCAAGAAAATATGTTCAATTTGAGGGAATGAGAGAAAGAGAGACAGAGAGGTAGAGACAGATCTAATTATTTATCATTCATTTGATTTTATTTGTTGGGTCTGTATAACAATGAAATCTATCAGTTTAGGAGATTTGGCATTGGGCAGTCCTAGCAGTTAATAAAATATGTTCTATTTATTCCAGAAATCTGTGAATGGAGAAGTTGCTTCTAGTGCTGACTGGATCTTGGATCCCACTGAGCTTGCAAATAAATTTAATTCCAAGACCAAAGCTATTATACTGAATACCCCTCACAATCCCATAGGAAAGGTGAGCATCCTGTTTTGAAGTTTGCTTCACCCACCTACACCACAAACACATATTTAAAGAATATATTGAATATACTGATCAACATGTTTCTTTCTTTTCATTTTAGGTCTATGCAAAAGAAGAGCTCCAGATAATTGCTGATCTCTGTATTAAATATGATACACTGTGCATCAGTGATGAGGTGTACGAATGGCTAGTTTATACTGGAAATAAACATATTAAAATAGGTACTAAAATTTAAAATGGTATAAATGGTACATGATGAGAAACCTAAATACACCTTTTAGTTACTGCTTATAAGAAATAGATTTTGCCTAAAGAATATTAGATAGTAATTTTTGAAAAATACAATACCAGTAATTTTTGAAAAAAATAATCAGTAAAAAGTATATTTTTTAAAATATTAAATATTTTGAATTTAGCTGCTGAACAAAAAGAAACATGTTTATATCTCCTTATATTTTGTTCTTCAGAGTGAGATGGGGCAGCATATAAATTTAATGAATGAACCAAGGAATGGATGATTAAATAAATAAATATTTGAGAATATGGCTGTACTCATAGGTAATGCTAAGCCTCTGTACTTTAACCAGGATGTGTTGAACAAGGTGTAATGGTCTGATTTACATATGATAAATCATATTGGATGGATTTGCATATAATTCTAAAACAAAAACTGTTTTTGTTTTAGAATTTTATGCGAAACCACCTAGGGCTATGGATAGGGTCTAGGTCTTTAGGACAACTCTCTGCTTCCGATTCACCTTGGTCCACTCGCCACGACCAACTTGCTGTGGGACAATTCAACACAGGATAACTCGAGAGGGACGAGTGAATTGCAGCAGGCCTTGTCTTGCTTTAGATTTGGACCTTCACAATTTAGAAGTCCCTCAAGGCTGGAGTGAGCTGCAATTCTGCTTGTCCCTTTCTTGAGTTATTCCATGTCGAATTGTCTCGCTGTGAGTCGTCCCCGGGCGAGTCGGCTGAGATGAGATAGCTGCGGCGAGATGGCCAGGGAGAGTCAGCTGGGGTGAGTTGTCCCATTCTGCCCCACTCCAACTTAATGAAATATTGCCTGTTAATTATAACAAATTTTTAAAAATGCCAAAAGCCACCCCCCCCAAAAGGCGCACACATTTAGCTTCAGAAAATAATGTTGAAGAATATTAAATATCTGACTTAAAATAAGTCATATGATTCGATGAAATGTTATTGTTACTATATATGTAAATGTTATGTAATTCAATGAAAGAAGTTCTCAAGCTGAGTTGAACTACTGGGGATGATTACATGCATACATCAACATGGTTTTCTTGGCAGATATGCAGCAGGGTCTTGTCACATTGCCTTCTTCAAAGCTTTCCCAATCTAGTTTGCAGCTTTCTGGTGATGTCTTTTCCAGGTAGTAATCAAATCTGACCCTGTGTAGTTTCTGAGCCCAGACAAACTCATCCAAACATTATTTGATATGATCAAATTGTGCTATTTGATATGTTTAAATTGTTATGATGAATTACTGTTTGGCTTCTCCAAAGGTAACTGAATATTTTAACTCCTAATTTTCTTCCCCCTGGCAGAGCCCCAAAACATATAGTTGCAAAATGCTTACTGTATGACATTCTGCTCTAGATAGTGATTTACTGTTAGTACCTTAAACTCCATTAGTTCTAATTGGATATGTCTTCACCCAGTAGGTGGGATGAAGTGATTTGCAAGGTTTGATTCATTTGATATCAAAGAAAGAAATCCATCTGGTTATTTTTGCAACATATATTTTCAGAGCTTACAGTTTTTGGAGACTTTTTTTTAATTCTACTTTGGATTAAATTCTTTTTCTTTCCATCTTTTTTCCAGGCAGTAGAGGTATAGGTAGACCTTGGATACACTTACCTGTTGTGTGTCTGAGCCATTCAAGCTTCATTATATTCATCCACTTTGGATGGTTTCACACAAAAGAGTTCTTTGTCGCACTGATGAAAAGAATTTGTGCAGCCATTCCATTCCCCCCTCCCCCCTTAACTGATTTTTTTTTATTAAAAAGTTTTACAAAAAACAAAAATTTTCTTCCCTCCCCTATTCCCCCCCACCCTTTCCCTCCCCTCATCCCACCCCCCCAGACTTCCCAGAGCAAAATACAAGGTGTTTCATTTAACAATCATAAAATAGATTAACCTACTTATCCTCAGACTACTAACTCCCCCCCCTGAAACCTTAACTCCACTATAGATAACTAAATACCTCTAATACTTAACATTCAATCATAAGCTATATGATATTTTCTTGTCTGATACTTATTTTGAATATAGTCAATCCATCTTCTCCACCCCTTAACTGATTTTTAATGGGGGAAAAAAAAAAGAAACAGTGGCAGGGAAACATGAGAGTTACAAAAAGAAAATCATTGGTTGCAAAATGAAACCATACATTCATTGAAATGTCTATGAAAGCATTCATGCCATAAAAGCCAAATCTCTGAACGCTAAATTATTTTCATAAAATAGTAAGAGTTGGAAGGAGATGTTGTGGTCCGCCAGCGGCCAGCAGAGCTGGCAGCATATACGGACAGTGAGGAGGTTGGGGAGAAACGTGGGCCAGTCCTGGAGTCTGGGGAAGGCTTGGACGAGGGCTCTGCGTCGGAGGCAGAGAGTGGGGCAGGGCCACTGGGTAGTTATGTGCTGCCTCCGGAATCTGACATCAGCGAGGCAGAAGAACGGGGAGCCTATTCCCAATGCGTGTATGCGCAGAGCTGCCAGGAGGCAAAAACAGTTAAGACAAAAGTGGTGACTCGGGAGTAAGGCTTGGAGATGATTGGTCCCTCCCATAAGATATAAGAGAGGAGCAAATGGACGTGAGCCTTTGCAGGAAGCAATTTGTTCATTCTGGCCGGTTCAAATTCTGAGAAGCTCCGTTTGACTCTGTACTCCGTTTGGCTATATGCCTCAGTTTAAATGCATCCAGCAATGCGGGAGCTTGTCACTTCCTTCCCTAATTGCTTATTTCTTTTTTTGCATAACCCATAATAGGTTTAGTATTTATTATGTGCTACAAACCATTAATGAAATTTTATATTTAAATGGGATTTGAAAACTGCTTGTTGACAAAATTAATTGAATATTTTCATTGGTATTACTACCATTTATTATTCAACTAAATTCATATGCTGCCTGACTCCCAGTGACTGGGAGGTTTACAAATAGTTAAAAACATTAAAAAAAAAAAAGAAAAACATTGCAAAACAAAGAATGGCTGAGATAACGACTCCAGATGGGATACAATGAAAATATAAAAAGGGAACTTCAATCATATTTGCCAAAGGCCTGAGCAAAGAGATCAAATCAACAAATACTGTTTCATTACATTCTTATTTTTATAAGATTGTATGTAAAGAATGTCACATTCTTTATGTAAATTTATTTTTCTGTGTTTTGTGAAAAGTGTGTGTGTGTATAATCTCATAAAGTATTTTTATTGCACTGTATAGAATGCATAGAAAACTCAGTATAAAATATTTTAGATGAAGTTGTTCATGTATACTTCTTTCTTCTTGGTCACTTTTAAGCAAATCCCATGGAACAGTTTCAGACCGTAAAACCTAGGTATAAATGACAGTTATGTTTACAAACTGAGCAAACTATTCCTCTCTTTTTTTTTCTTTCTAGAAAGCGATTTTTCTTTAGCTTATTTATTTTGTACATGAAGTTTATACAAAGAATATAAATCCTCTCCCTAGAGACAGAGTTGTATTAAGTTTCTTATATTCCATCAATTGAAGTGACGCATGCATCATGAAAAGGAATATTGCATCCATTTGCAGCATCAGTTATAATTCTCCAGTACCTTCTTAATAGAGGCTGTGAGTGATAGAACATGGAATCAGTACACTCTTTATGCTGTCATCAAGATAGTTTCCTCTACTGTAGTGTAGAATACTAAATCATTTTTTCTTATCTGCCTTGTGCAAAATGGAAGTTGTGCTGACAAACTTAATGCATATTGTAAATGAGAATTCTTCTGATAGCTCCATAGGGATAGTGCTGATGTGAATCTGTATGTTGTCTTACTGATACTATTTTTGAATCTGATTGGATATGAAAACACGTTCTGTCTATTGCTTCATATAACAAATGTGCTGTGATAACCTTCGTTATTTAAATCTACTGCTAAAATGGAATAGTCAGCTTTGGGGCCAACTTCCCCAATACATTCCAAATGTATTGGCACTCCCCTAATAACTAGCCAACTCATATTAAGACTGGTTTAATTCAGTGCTAATTTGTATTATAGAAGTCTTTTATCATACATATCCTTGTGAACTTCAGAAAAATAATTTTATCTTGTCAGATATTTTTCTTCCAGTTCGTTACTTACAGCTCTGAACTGATTTTACTGATCATAAATACAATTATTTCTACCCTGTCATTTTAATGGATATCTGTTTGTAAAGTGAAATTTGGTATCTCTGCATAACGTAATTACTGAATGGTGACTATGTACCCAGAAGGGCAAAATATAAATTTTCATAAATAAAATATCAATTAACTTGTTTTAATATGAACAGCTACTTTGCCTGGAATGTGGGAGAGAACAATAACAATAGGAAGCGCTGGAAAAACATACAGTGTAACTGGCTGGAAGGTAATGGACTTAGTTAGAGATTGCTTCCATGAAAAGTCATATGTTGAGATAGTGTTGAATTAAAACATTGGCACTAGTGAATGTAGACCAATATTTGCAAATTATATATGCCCAAAGACATTTTAAAAAATTAAAGGCTGGAAAGAACTGAACTTAAGAGATTATTATCAACCTTAAATAGTAATATATGCCCAGCTGTATATTTCATATGGTAGTTCTAATTTGAATTTAAAAATGGGTACTACTGAATGAAGAACTAAATCTAATTCTAGACCATGCTTTTGCATGGCATTTTGATCTTTTTCACAGTTCTATTGAAAATATACTGGTGAAATTTGGGACATTACCACTATAGTGAAATATATCATGAAAGGTTGCATTCAGAAATGAAAATTGAGGAAATTCCAAATATAAATCCCATATGTACACAAATAAACTTTAAGATCTCTGTTAAATCTCAAATGGGCATGACCTTAGGGGAATTTTAATTTGTTAACATTTACAGCTGTTGTGGAAATTTATAGACACATAAATGATATATGTATATATGTATATTTTAAGATCATTATATATGTCACTTATTTATAAAATAGATGTTTATTTCTAGAAAGTAGTTTTGTGGTTTTTTTTTAAAAAAAAGTCTGTTTTTAAATAAAGGGTTAACTGCAGAATCTCTGATTCGATTGTCTTCCACTACCCAATAAAAACTTCCTAAAAGAGTTAGGGAGAAAATTTTTCATCAACTGAAAGAAAATTCTTCTCTAAATGTATCAGTCGTCTATCAGTGACTGATGGGATTTGTGTGGGAAAATAAATGTTTTTTGTATAAGTTCTGTGAATTTATCTGCAAAGCAGGCACAATTTATATATCTTGAGATAGATGAAAGGAGCGAATGCCTGAATGCTGTTGTTTTGTAAATGTAAGTAAACAGTCAACAAGTAATGCATATTTTATCTTTCATTTCAGCTTGGTTGGTCTATCGGTCCCTCACATCTGATAAAGCACTTGCAGGTCGTTCAACAAAATACCATTTATACATGCCCAACTCCATTACAAGTAAGTACAAAGGCATACAAAAGAAATGTTTTTGCACATTTGGGAGGTCAGAAGTATGGAAAGTATGGATTTAAAACGGATAAGAAAGAAATGTATGGATGCAAATTGTAAGTGGGTTATCTGATTTCCCCACCCCCATATAAACGATGCTGTGTTTCAGTGGTTACATGGCCTAGACGTATTTGAATATAAATCTGTTTAACGTTTATGTTATATTGTGTTTTATTAATCTATGTGAAATATTAATGTATTGCAAATCAATATATGCCACACACTAAATAATAACAGTAGGTGAGTTCTTTAATGAATAGGCCCAGTGTGAATCAGCATTGGAATAAATAACCATTTCTCTGTTATCTGTTATCTGAAAATGGACTGAAATAGTTAGAACAGAGTATCATTTTGCGAATGTGAAATGTATTCAGTAGTTTTAAAGGCAATTATATCCGGTAAGACAATTTTAAATTTATCCAGTAGTTTTAAAGACAATTTTAACTTGCCAAAGTGTCACCTATATACAACCTTTATATTAGAGTGTAGTGTTCTGTAGATTTGTGGTTAGATTTAAACTTTATAAGTATTTGGGACACTTCTTCCTTTTGCAAGGAAGAAGAGAGGAATATGAATAGATATCTAGATTTTATTCATAATTAAAAATTATGAAACACTATTGTAGATCCCTTCATAATTTTATATTATCCTAAAACCATAACCCTGGTTAAACAATTTGGAATAATATTATTGACAAAAGTTGAACACAGATACAAATTGCATTAATTAAAATAACGAGGCTGAAGGTTGAAAGAAACAAAGTCTTCAAACAAATGTAGCCCAACGATAGAAGAATGTCCTGATGTGTTTCTTGTTAATGGAACATCTATTTTGGTGGGCATTCTTAGCGAAAAACAATTACAATTTTGAGCTTTAAAGATAACATTATCATTAAACCTAGATCTCAGAGGTGTCTTCGGTTTATGTTGATTATTTCAACTTTTTCTTAATGGGTTTGGCTTTTCAGGAAGCTGTAGCCCAAAGTTTTTTGCTAGATTTCAAACGCATGGATGATCCAGAATGCTATTTCTACTCCTTGCCTAGAGAGCTGGAAAGTAAACGGAACCGAATGGCTCAGATGTTTCTGGAAGTTGGACTGAAGCCTGTTATTCCCGAGGGAGGATATTTTATGATTGTTGATGTGTCCACACTAGGTTAGTGACATTCTTAATTTATGTCAGGGAGGAGTTTATTTTCACCAAAATTGAAGCTGTATCAGAAAGATATATTGTCTATACAGGTGACTACAATTGAGCCCAAAATTTATGTTGCCAAGCTAGGCAGTTAAATGAGTTTTGTCCCATTTGCCACAGTTGTTAAGTGAAAGACTGCAGTTGTTCAGTGAATCATGCGTTCATTAAGCAAATCTGGGTTCCCCCATTGACTTTACTTGCCAGAAGCTGGCTGAGAAGGTTACAAGTAGTGATCGGGGAACAGGGCAGCCGTCATAAATACATGCCAGTTGCCAAATGCTTGAAATTGATCACATGACCATCAGGATGCTGCAACAGTCGTTAAGTGTGAAAAATGGTCACAAGTCACTTTTTTCAGGGCCGTTCTAACTTTGAACGATCACTAAGTGAATGGTTGTAAGTTGAGGACTACCTGTAGTGAAGGCTACCTGAGTTCTGGATTCTGAGGTTTTGGATAGTAAATGAAAAATTATTCAGGTTGATGACTTCATGACATTTAGTGTCTTGCAGATGTACATCATGATGTTCGTAAGTGCCAGGCCATTAATTTGTATGGTGGATTCTCAAAATATTTCTATGGACTAGTCTGCATAAAAAGAAAACGTTAGTATACTCCCAAGGATGTCAAACTCAATTTCATTGAGGACCGCATCAGGATTGTGTTTGACTTCAGGGGGGCAGGGTGGGCATGGCCAAGGTGGGCATGGCCAGCTTAACTACTCCTGCCGGGGGCGCCTGTGGTGGCCCGAGTGCTCTGGCAGTGAAAACGGGCTCCTGAAAAGAGGCTCCTGTGATGGCTTCCTGCAACCCTCTGCCAGAGAAAATGCAACTCGGGAGGGCCACGCGGCCCTCCCGAGCTCCATTTTTGCTAGCAGAGGTACCGCGGGCTGGTCCTTTGCTGTTTCCAGGGTGGCCCTGTGGGCCATATCTAAGCATCCCGCAGGCCGGATCTGGGCCCCGGGCCTTGAGTTTGACACCCCTGGTATACTGCTTCAGAGGAGATATAGGGAAAGGAATGCAACAAAACCGTTCCCACATTATTTCCCTAGCTTAGATTGATTTTGTGTATCTGCAAAAATGTGGAATTGTAATACTTGATGTTTCTGAACTGGAAAATAGTGTTATTTATTTATTTTTTACAGGTATAGATTTGTCTGAGATGGAAAAAGAGAAACCTTATGATTATAAATTTGTTAAATGGATGATAAAATCTAAGGTAGGTTCTGATTTCTTTTTCCTTCCTATTTCAATTATCCAACTATGATATTTTAAATAAAATTGAAATGGGGACTCCCAATATAGAGGTGCAGTGGAAAGTTATATGTCCATAAATGGGCAGAACTTTTTATCTCCAACTGTGCATTTAACATAGGAAAGCTGTTCATTAGCAGAAGCAAAAATTGAAATAAAATGCATTATCCAAAAACTTCATTTAAATAGTTGCCACATACAAAATCCTTTTTAATGTACTGTGAGCTTGTAATTCTATTTTGTTTTTTTCAGAAACTGTCAGCTATTCCTTTGAGTTCATTTTGTGGCCCAGAAACCAAAGATCAATTTGAAAAATATATACGCTTTTGCTTCATCAAAGTAAGTTCTACAATCTAATGATCTTACAGAATTTCTTTTTTTTTTCTAATTTAACCATGTAGAGATTTTTAAATACTGCTATTCATTTCCATATCATATTTATAACATTCACATTGTGTTTTTCTAAGCCCCAAAATGCTCCTTAGAAACAAAACGCTGTTTTGATTCTGAAGTATTCATTTGAATATGGAAGACTTCTCAGGAGTAGACTGCTGAATTTCTATTTTTCATTACTCCATTTGAGAATGTGCATATTGTTGCTGATTACTTGACTAACAGCTGAGTCATTGACAACCATTTATTTATCAAGAGTAAACTGAATTACTGGTTTGTTATAAAGATGACATTCATTGTACTGTAACCAAATCACTTTTCCCCCAATCTCTGCTCTTTAATATCTTATATCATGAATGAATGTTGATTTTAATCTTCATGGCATTCTTTGTTGGCAGAAAGACAGCACATTAGACGCGGCAGAAATGATTCTGAAGAATTGGAAGAAACAATGACCTAGAAATAAACAGCTTCAATCATCCAAAAAAAAAAAAAACCCCAACCCAACAATTTTTTTTAAAGATTGCAGTATGCTGCCATCTGCTGGATATTTAGCATTAATAATTGAAATGTGTTGATATTGGTATCCTCCAAACCAATAACATTTAGCGCTCTATCTAATTTTTAATATTCTTCAGTAAAATATATAAATATTATTCTAAAGCAGTGTTTCTCAAACTTGGCAACTTTAAGACACATGGACTTCAACTCCCTGGCTGGGGAATTCTGGAAGTTGAAGTCCACACGTTTTAAAACTGCCAACTTTGAGAAACACTTGAATTTTAAACTATTGTGTTCCATTATATTGGCTAACAAAAGCTATTCCGCTTTTATTGCATGGCAGATAGTTTTTTTGTCTTTCTTCATTCAAAAATGTCAGCATAAACTGGTATTTGGCAATAGGGAATACAGTGTACATTTTCTCTACCTCTTTGTACAAATGCTGAGAAATTTTGTTGTGAACACCTGGACAGGATTCCCAGCAAATAGAAGAAGAGATGGCAAAATATCCATATCACCAAGTGCCATGCTAACCTTGCTATAGAGCAGGGGTGGGCAAATGTGGCCCTTTTACAACCTGTGGACTTCAACTCCCAGAATTCCTGAGACAGCCAAGCTGCTATAGAGCACACTTTTTTAAACATCTTGTATTGCGATAAACTATTTTAATTTTAATTGGCACTAGCATTTACAAAATAAAATTCTGTTCAGTGTTTTCCCTAAACAAGTAAAACTGCACCTATACAATTGTAATAGTAAATTGCCAGCCTTTCATTTTTAGCTTCTTGCCCAATACTCTGACAGAATCCTTCAAGTTCAACCTTTAAAATATTAGGAAATATTAATATCTCCAGATTGTAAAAGCCAGGATTACTGGAGCTTCTGACATTTATAATAGAAACATTCTGGAGGTCATCAGGATAGAAATCAAAGTACATAATTGTTACAAAACAATAAATATTATGTACATAATTGTTACATAAAGTTAATAAATGAAATATGTATGCAGATATAATTCCAATACATAGAGCTAATAATGTAATAGAAAGAATATAAAAGACATATAATAAATTATTCTAGAAAAAAGAAGTTAGATTACTTTAGAATCTGAGTTTTTCCTCTCCCCATCTTGTGTAAATTAGGTAAGCCCTTTGATCTTGTTTAAGTTCATGATATGAGATGTGTCATCTGTCATAACTGGCTGTTTCCAATGATTACCATTTTGTGTTATAATATTCTTTGAGAACCTGTTAAGAATTGTCAACTAATTTTATGGAATGAAAAATTGATTTACTTAAGAAATCACTAAAACTGCTTAGTCATAAATTTTATCTGATTATTTGTTTTCATTGATTTTATAAATGCACAAAAACATAATAAATCTAACATAGAAGTATAACAGATAAGAGTGAGTTTCTTAATTTTCTTGTTTAACTAAAGATGAAAAATAACATGACTAAGGAAAAAAAAATTGTGAACATATGGTAAAATAGGTTTGTAATATTACTATTGTTCTTACATTCTTATCCTGCTTTTTAAAATGTAAACAAACATGCCTAGTACTCCTGCCTATTTTCTGCACAACAACCACCACCGTGAGGTAAGATTGGGCTGAGAGAAAATGACTGACCCAAGATCACCCAGCTGGCTTTCACGATCACACTAAACTGGCTGTCTATCATACACAGCATTGTTACCTAACTGGGTCAGTTTGGTTGCTAATGCTTAACGATTTTTCCCATGACAGGATGATTCCCGTTAGCCTTCAAGAGGATATGGAAAACAGGTTGTACAGGAGTCATCCCATCAAAAGTATTTACCAATGCCAGCACAGAAGTATATAGATAAGCACAATGTGGGGAACCATATACCACTTCCCAGAGAACTGAGTGAAGGGAGGTGTAATCCCCTTTATAGAAAGCATCTCTCATTTTATAGAGTCCTCCCTCCTCTGGCTTGATTGTCCTGTTCCTTTATCTGCTGAGCAACTAGTTGTTGCCTAATTTAGATGGCACATCTGTTCTTTTGTGTTTGTACTTGGAAGTTATTTCCCAGGTGCTCTTCTTACAAAATGCACGGGACTGCAGACCTTCCAGAACAACCATATGCATATTTACACAGAAATTAAATGTAGCTTACTTTCAGATGCATTAAACTGCACCATCATGCACCTGTGTGTTGTGGCCTGTCGGCTGCCAGCAAAGCTAGCAGCAGTCAGATGAGGAGGTTGAAGGAGAGCCTAGGCAGGTTTTCAAGCCTTTGGAAGGCTCTGATGAGGAAGCAGGATCAGAGGCAAATGCAGTCTGAGCCTTCCGTCCTCCCCCAGGTGGAGAGGCAGCTGTCTTCAGGGCCTGAGCTGAGTGAGGGGGAGGAACAGATGGGGCCCATCCCAGATGTGCATATGCATAGATAGGAAAGAAATAAGCTGGCTCTCAGGGGAAAAAAGACATAGACGTTAGCCAGACCCTCCCTGGCTGGGAAATAAATAGTAAGGGTTTGGGAGTGGTCGGTTGTTGCAGACAACGGTTTGTTTTCCAATGTACAACAATCACGTTGGATTTCTTTGCCAGAACCAGGTTTGTTGGGACTAATTGCTCTGTATTTGAAGTGCCAATGGAATCTCCCTACTGGGAAATAATAGGGAGTGAATTTGCCTCAGCTGATGTGAACAGAGACTATTGCCCTGTTTTTCATTTGCGACTCATTACTTTTGGTTTTGTTTATCCAATGTGAACAAAGACTGTTGCTGCCCTGACTTAAATAAAAAAGGGGTTGTGTTACTCATGAGTAAGCAGTTTCTTATTGCTTGTGAAGGCTGGGTCAGAACACTGTACACATTTATTCTGTCTTAGGTCTAAGGTCAGTTGTATATGCTCTTAGCTAATTCTGTCACCAAAATGACAAAAAAAAATTTTTTTAAAAATTACAAGGTCAACAAGATAAATGTTGCATAAGTGATCATATGTGTATGAGAGCCAGTTTGGTCTAATGCTTAAGGCACTAGTCTAGAAAGTGTGAGACCGCGAGCTTAAGTCCCATCTTAAACTCATGAAAGTCAGCTGGGTGACTTTGGGCCAGTCACTTTCTCTCAGTTCAACTGTCTTCAAATAAGAGGAGGAAAGTACATTGGATGTGTTTGTTGCTACCTTGAGTTATTTGTAAAAATAATAAAGGTGGGAAATAAATATGCATTCTCAGAATTAATGTTATCCTGCAAATCACTGGGTAGCAGGTCCTATCAATGTGTGCATTTTCACTAACAGTGAATGGGTGTGACTTTCATTATGCCTGATGAGCTTTGACCTAGGTTTTACAGAATGGGAGCAAATGGTTTGTTTTTTAAACCCAGAATAGCCATCCCATTATACTACCAATGGATACATAAATAAGTTTCTGTAAGAGTGGCAAGGAGAGTGGAATTTAGTATTGACTTCAGTTTCACCCATGGAAGGTATAATGGAATAGCATGGTATTGAATGTCAAATAAAATCTTGTCTATGTATGGTACACATGCTCAAATCCTAAATATTATTTCTGTGAGTTCTAGTCCTGTCCCAGGCACAAGCCATCTGGGTTGCTTTGGGATAGTCATTCTCTCTAAGAGGAAAATCACTTTTGAAATCATTTATTATTTATTATTTATTTATTAGTTTGATTTATATTCTGCCCTTCTCCGGAGACTCAGGGTGGCTTACAATGCTTTTTAAGCAATGCCTTCATACTTTTGTATATACCTGATTAATAGGGCTTTTGCCTCCCCCTAAGCGGTGTTCTATTTTATACAAAGTCAGCTTATTGCCCCCACAAACTGGGTCCTCATTTTACCTACTTCGGAAGGATGGAAGGCTGAGTCAACCTTGAGCCTGGTGAGAATTGAACTTGCAGTAATTACAGGCAGCTGGCAGCTAAATACTACTTTAACAGTAGTTTAGTCCACTGCACCACCAGGCTCCATCATGCTAAGAAAACTGCAGGCTTGTCCAGGCAGTTGTCAGGAGTCAAAAACTGTCTCCTGTCATCATAGACACTATGCATACATATGTACATACAGACAGACACAGTATATTCTACAAGGAACTTTATGTTAGTGGATAAATTAAGCTGGAGTCTCTCTCTCCCCCTCTTCCAATTCCCTTTTTCTCTTTTATTGCTTGGGTTTAAACAGCAGTCAAACGCTGCAGTCCCATTACTCTATGCAATGCACAAGCAAAAACCATCAGTATTGCCTATAGATAGAATGAGTTGGAAGGGACCTTGGAGATCTTCTAGTCCTCCTGCTCAAGCAGGAGAATGGAGGTGGTATTCAGCAGGTTCTGACCAGTTCTGCAGAACTGGTAGCAGAAATTTTGAGTAGTTCGGAGATCCGGTAAATACCACCTCTGACTGGCCCCACCCCCATCTATTCTCTGCCTCAAGTCCCAGCTGATCGGGAGGAAATGGAGATTTTGTAGTAATCTTCCCCTGGAGTGGGGTAGGAATGGAGATTTTACAGTATCCTTCTCCTGCCACAGCTACCAAGCCAAGCCGTGCCCACCAAGCCATGCCCACAGAACCGGTAGTAAAAAAATTTGAATCCCACCAAGGAGAACTTATACCATTTCAGATAAGAGGCTGTCCAGATACTTCTTAAAAACCTCCAGTGATGGAGCGCCCACAATTTCTGGAGGCAAGCTGTTCCACTGGTTAATTGTCATCACGGTTAGGAAGTTTCTCCTTAATTCCAGGTTGCTTCTTTCTTTCATTAGTTTCTTGTCCTGCCCTTTGGTGCTTTGGAGAATAATTTGACCCCCTCTTCTTTGTGGCAGCCCCTCAAATACTGGAATACTGCTATCATGTCACCCCTAATCCTTTTCTTTAGACTAGCCAAACCCAGACCCTGCAGCCCTTCTTCATATGTTTTAGTCTCCAGGCCTTTGATCATCTTAGTTGCTCTTCTCTGAACTTTTTCCAGTGTCTCAACGTCTGTTTTGTTGCATAGTGACCAAAATTGGTTGCAGTATAAGTTAGAACCATGCAACAGGAGTATAAAACAACTTTGCTGGAATTTAAATCCCACAAGGGCAAAAACAAACCACCCTGCCTAGCAAATATGCTGAAGGCCTCCCTCCTCCTTTAAAACAGAACAGGGGACGGCATCACCTCTCCTCTCCTCCCGCGGAAGAAGCCAGGAAAGCGCGATCCTTTGCTTTTTTTTTTTTTTTGACCCGCGCGGCTTTCCGTCGACGAGGCCTCGGCGAGTTCCACCCACCGGAGCTTTGGCTTAAAAGGAAATCCGTCAGTCTGCCTGCTGGAGTCGACGAGGAGGAAACAAGATGGCGTCCACCAGCCGGTCAGTCGGGGGGGAAGGTGTCTCCGGTGGGGAGGCTCTGTGTGGTTCGGGAGCCTTGACGTCGGGTTTTAAAGGGAGGGCGGTGGTGGGCGGGAGAATGAAAGGTGTCCGGGGAGACCGGGAGGAGCCGCGGCTACGGCTGGAGGTTTTTCTTAGGCCTCAGCCTCCCTTGACTTGCTGAGGAGCATCTTCCCTTTATGGCCTCCCGAGCGACTTCTAGCCCCGCTCGCTCGTCTTTTCTCGCCTTCTTCTCCCTCCCCGGCTTTAGCTCTTGCCTTTCTCAGCGCTTTGAGGGGAAACCCCCCCCCTCAATAGGCTCCCCGTTTTCCAAGCCTCTCTCCTCGTCGTCCCCCTCTTTCTCGTCGCCTCCCTACCGCCCTTGCTGAGGCGCTCCCCTCGCATTAAAGGCATTCCTTTTTCTTAAAAAAAAAGAAAAGAAAAGAAAAAAGAGCCTTTATTTAAAAAAAAAAAAAAGTAGCCGCCACTCCTATCCTATCCTATCCTATCGCCTTTCTTCCATTTTGCGGCATAGCTTCTCCGCTCACACGGCAAATGGGACTCGCATGACTTCCCATGAATAAAGTTAAATGTTTGTGTTGGGGGAAATGTGGCGAGGAATAATGTGTGCCGTTTTTTTTCCCGTAAAGGGGATGTTTGTTTATGTCAAATATCCAGGTGTTTGACATTTTGAGGTGACCCAACTGCTGTGCAACTTGAGGGGGGGGGGAGGGAGGAAGGAAGCCCTTTCTCTGGCAAATTATTTTATACATTGTCAAACTCAATCCAGTTTTTCCTGGGCAAACAGTTTTTTTTTCCCCAGAAGCCGACTTGTACCAAATTAAGTAAGGGAGCAAATCTGGAGCTAGTTTTGCCAGTGCTTGTGCGAACCCAAGTTTGGTTTAGAGAAAAGTGCCTCCTTTCTCAGGTGTTCATGACCTTTTGGGGGACACCAAATTAGAGCTTTGAGAAACCTCTGTTTCTTAAAGTGTGGTTATATTATTCCTGGGGGTCCCATTAGGAGCCACCAAAATCAAAATTCTTTTCTCAGCCTGTGTAGAAAAATAATACAATCTTAAAATGCCATCAAAGCAATCGTTAGTGCCGAATGAGTGAATCACATGTAATTTTTAATAGAGTAAAAAATAAATATGATTCATATAAGCAAAGGGCAAAGGCTCTTTGGTGGTCCTCCATGCTTTTTAAAAATGGGAAGGGGTCCTGAGAGAGAAAAAAAAAGTTTTAAGAAATGCAGACCTGAATTATATGAACAGGTTTCTCTGACAGTTGTAAAAATTAATGCCGGAAGAAATTCATCTCTAAAACAACAGGAGGTTTACTTTAAACATCTGCAGATATAATATAAATTTCATTGCCATTTGCAAATGTTGCTTTTAGATGTAGAAAAAATGTTTTATGGTATAAATTTGCCAATGCATCATAGGAATATTTAAAAGGTAAAGATTCTCCTCACGCATGTGTGCTAGTCGTTCCCGACTCTAGGGGGCGGTGCTCATCTCCGTTTCAAAGCCGAAGAGCCAGCATTGTCCAAAGACGTCTCCGTTGTCATGTGGCCGGCATGTCTAAATGCCAAAGGCACACGGAATGCTGTTTTCTTCCCACCAAAGGTGGTCCCTATTTTTCTACTTGCATTTTTTACGTGCTTTCGAACTGCTAGGTTCGCAGAAGCTGGGACAAGTAGCCAGAGCTCACCCCATTGGGCGGCACTAGGGATTCGAACTACTGAACTGCAGACCTGTCGATCAACAAGCTCAGTGTCTTAGCCACTGAGCCACCACGTCCCTTCCAGGAATATTTAAAGTTGGGTTATTAAATTGTGAATCTTAGCCATCTTTACATTTTTTAACTGTCTGATTGTATAGCCTGACTAGATGGCTCAGTGGCTAAGACACTAAGCTTGTCAATCAGAAAGGTCGGTGTTTCGAATCTCTAGTACAGGTCTCCTGCGTGAGTAGGGGGTTAAACTAGATGACCTCCAAGGTCCCTTCCAACTCTGTTACTGTTATAGTATGTTTAGTTTTCAAGATAAGAATAATTGATAGATAAATAAAATCCAGTTTGTTCTACCACCATCTTCTTGTCCTATTTTAGCCATGAAAGCTGGCTGTGTGGGCCAATTACTTTCCCTTAGCCCAGTCCACCTCACAAGCTTGATTTTTGTGGGGAAAATAGAAGGAAGAAGGAGTATTGTGTGTATTTCAGTGTGTACTGAATCAATCCTTACCCAATAATTGCTAACCTGTGTTTTGAATTACAGGTTGTCTCTAAAATGTAGATTAAATTAAAGTCATAAATTTAATTTAATTAAACTGAGTGAAAGTTTTTGTTTTTACTTAGATGAAAAAAGACAGAAGTTAATTAAACAGCAGTTTTAGAAATATCTTCTCCTGTATTGTATGTTCTGTTTGGTTTTCATTCATTAATAATAAATGT